GGCATAAATCCGAAATTCTAAAATTTTAAATTGGGTATAATTTTATATTATTATAGTGGGTTTTAGGACAGGACAAATAATTTAATTAGTTTTTAATACTTTTAAATATTATGGTATCGCTGTTTTATTAATGTGCCTGTTCACCGCCCTGAGTCCCGCAAGGGAGAAGGGCGGTATATAAATCAAATAAATTGAAATTGAAATTGAAACATTCCAAATATTTTATAGAACCAAATCTGAAGCACCGTCACTCATTTGTTTCATCACTTTTTCAAAAAAGGTTATAAACTTTTCCACTAAAAAAGTCCCCTTTCCTATTAAAACTCTACTTTGTTAGCGAACCTTGAGAAAAATCACTAATCTTTTTTTTTAAGATGTGAAATTGATGCTGAAAGATGGCAATTTGTGCAAGGCCATACAATGAATCAAACTGCAAAAGTACAACTTGGATCTAGCTTAAATTCCACATCTGCCCACTTGATTGCACTTCTTGGAAATGGCTAGATTTACAACTTCAAGCTTATCATTTCCAAATTTCACTTTTCTTTCACAAATGTGTATATTTATATCAACTAAAATTAGTTTTGAAAATAGTTTTGCATGAAGTTCAGAGGAAAATGATCTTATGCTCACATTTTTAAGTTACTAATGGTGAAACACTGTTGAGGGTCCTAGCATCATACTCAACGAGTAGACCTCAACAGCACTATATCCACATGGAGAGAAGTAAGCAGTGGGGTACTACAAGGTTCCGTCTTAGGCCCAGTACTCTTCAATATCTTCATCAATGACTTAGATGAGGGAACTGAAGGGGAACTCATCAAATTTGCAGATGACACTAAACTGGTAGGAGTAGCCAACACCCCAGAAGACAACTCAGGATCCAAAAAGATCTTGACAAACTTAAACAATGGGCCCTATTCAACAAAATGAGTTTCAATGTGGAGAAAAGCAAAGTTTTACATTTAGGTAGGAAAAATCAAAGGTACAAGTACAGATTTGGCAAGTCCTGGCTTAAAAACAGTAACTGTGAGAGGGACCTTGCAGTGCTAGTGGACAATCACTTAACCATGAACCCGCAGTGTGCAGCAGCAGCCAAAAAAGCTAATACACTTTTGTGTTGGGAATAAAATAAATTTGTATATTCTGAAATCAAAAAAGTTAATGGATAATCAGCTACTCAATATGATATACAATGGTCAGAAGCCAAAGAAATGTTAATTTCCTCCCAAGAGCCAAGTTCTTTCTCTCAGCTAGATTCCTTCCCCAGCCATGAGGTTTCTGAAGCCATGGGAGTTTTCAAAAGCAACAATTGGCCAGACAATAGATTAATTGCTTCCTAACAAGCTATTAATATTACAAAATATCCTCACGTGGCAGTTCAATAAAAAAAAATAGCCAAATACTATATGGAAACCTAGCAGGTTTATCAGGAATGGGACTAGAGCTGCCAAATACACAATTTTAAATCATTGAAAGAGAAGCAATTAATCCACAAAATCTCCTTTTCCATTTGTACTACATCAATACGCCTGGTAGTGAAAGGGATGACCCTGAAAAAGAATCCCAAGGTTCAGATTAATGATCTAGAAACAACAGGTGGCTTCCAAGGCCAAAACTTCCGTCAGATATCCCAAAGCTGCCCAACCTAAAAAAACGTTCAGAGCTTGGGGGAGCCGCATAAAAATTAGCAGAATCGTTTTGTTGGCATTTATCTTTTTTTTAAAAAAAACCCAGTACATTTCAAAGCACCAATCGATGCAGATCGACAGCAAGAGCCTCAGCATCTTATATTTAGACCCAGGCATGGGGCAGTGATGGAAGCGAGGCTTCCCCAATTCTGTAGCCTCGACGCAGAGCCCCCTCTTCGTCCCCAGACCCTTCGAGCCAGACAAAGCCTTCTAGCGCGAAGTATTTACGACCAGAGAGACCCTCGCACAACCTCTTCTCCCTTTGCCGTCTTCCTGAAGCAGCCCTTCGCCCCTGGTCGCCTGCAGCTGCCCTTCGCCCCACCCAGAGGCTTTGTAGCGCCTGCCTGCCCTCCAGGTCACCCCCTTGGGGCTCCGCCCAGACCCGCCAGACGCACCCAGCCCCACGGGTGCCTGAACCCCAATTTCTCGCCCCACCCAGGGGCTCTGCCCCTCCCGCAGCTCCCTTTCAGCCAGCCCGACCCTTTTGAAGCTGCCGCCGCCGCCGCCGCCGCCGCCCACCCCCATCCCCACCCCCCACTCACATCTGATACTCGTCGATCGCTTCCACCAGCTGCCCCCAAGAGTCGAAGTCGGTCCCTTTTCTGAAGCTGGCGCCCCAGCGCTGCAGAAGGCTCCGAGTCGCTTCCGACATGGTCCCAGCTGCTAGGGCTCCATCTTCATCCGCGGTCGCGCCGCGGAATGGGGGCCGGGGAGCGAGGAGAGGAGGGCTCTCGCCGGGCAACGGCCGCTCGCTCCAGCCCAGCAACACCGCCGCTCACTCCCCGACCAAGCCCATTTGCCTTCTCATCCAAACCTGGCAGTCGCTTCTAACGAGTCCCGCCCACCAGCATGGTCGGTTGTACCTAAGCCGCCGCCTTCTCCTTGCCCTGCGCAGCGGCACTGGGGACCCTATTGGTTCCCGACTGCGCGTGCGTGGATCGAAATGGTTGTAAACTTGCAAAGGCCTCCTCGGAGAAGGAGCTTCTTGGTTACTTTTGAGATTCTATTCCAGCGGGCGTCCGCTGGCAAAGAATGACAAGCCGCTTCAGCGGAAAACTGCAGAACTTTCTAAAAGTCCCAAGGCAGCAGAAAACATCACCCTGTTAAAAAAAATGTGGCTTTAAATGTGTTGCACCCAGAAGCACGCTGATTACGCTGTCGCGGAATGTATGTCCCAAAGGTGTTTTTTCAAGAGCAGTTTGCCTCTTGAAAAAGCACCTTTGGGACAACCATGACCTGGATGACTGAGAATCTCCGTAGTCACGGAATGTATGTGCGTTATGATCTTGAAAGAGGAATATATTCTGCACACTTACTTCGCAACTAACAACATTCCTGTATTTACCTAAACTTTGGGGGAAAAAAAGCTTATGCAAATTCGAAGTTTGCATTCGGATGGGGAAAATCAAACCTCAAATATTCTTGGAGTACAGGTGCCTCGACTTACACGCGAGGAAAATATTTAGGTTTTTATGCGCGCTACCTTTTACGACGTCCCTTGCCAATAGCCTTTTGATGCGTTACTCCTGGCAAACGCATCAAGAGGTGCTTTCAAACTTTCTTGATGTTCCTTTTGCCTCCGCCTTACATTATCACAAGCCAGTCAAAATCAGATCGCCATCCCTTTCGGTGGCCCTCTGGCTTCGCACGCTCACCGCACTTTCTCCTTCACGCCTCAAACTGAGCCAGGAAAGGGGGGGGGGGATGATTAGTCACCATCCTTCTGTATCTAACAGGTGCAAAGAGGGTAGTTGCCCGATTTCCATCATTCTCCAGCTCTTTATGTACGGACTTTCAGTCGGTAAAAAGAAAAGGGAGACCCTGAGAGTCGACTAGTCCCTCTCGCTCTGCTTTGTCGAGCAACTGGGCTGCATAGAAAGCCATGGCACTCCTTCGGGGGCATTCATGCCTTTAGCGAGCCGAGAGCTGCCCGGCCCGATTTCGATGCTGCCATTACGTGAAGCGCTTCCGCCCGGTTAGCGAGACCTTGCCAGGTCCAGGAAGGCCACGTGACTTTCGACTATTGGTGCCTAGGGAGTCGGGCGGGTTTTTTTCTTGGTTTATTATTGCCGAGGTCACCCTACAGAAGTTATCCTTTAACTCCTCTACAATTTTTGGATCTCTGGCATAGAGTAGAGAATCTTCCGAGGTGGGTGAGTGGTAGGAAGCTTCTATTTATTATACCGTAGGCGCTTGTATTTTGTTTCCTCTCTTTACCGCACCTGAACGCTGGCAGTGATGAATCGTAGCGGCTTCCTCCTCCTCTCTGATTGTTTCCAAGGTCCAGCCTTGCACAGACAGTTGGTCATGGAATTAAATGCATTCAGTATAGTGATTACCTTTTATTCTTTTGTGAAATATGCTCAGCTGAGAGATAATTCCGAAACGATTGGCTGTTGTTTTCCTACCTCCTTGCATTCCCAAGCTTTATTTCGTTTATTCTTATGTATACACGATCAGTTGGATATTTCTGGGCCACTTAAGGAAAAAAACCGTGTTTAAATAGTTACTACTTCTTGAATGAGTCGTTCCCCTTTTCCTCTTAAGATTTCTTAGCCTTATTTTACTATTACGATCCACAAATCTCTCGACCTCCAATCACAGCGCAATTTCGAGAATTGAATAGAATTAAACCAACCACTTCCGCCTTTGTTGCAAGACTTTTAACCTTAAACGATTTGTGAATATCGTAATTGTTTTAACTCAAGACTGGTTTGTTTTTTTCGTCCGCTTGTTCGTCTCATCCTTTGCCTATTGTCTGGTGTTCTCAAGACAGGGATAAAGTTGTGGAGGCTCTGTAAAGACAAGCCCTTTAGGAAAACAGAAGAGAAATAGGCTTGATGTCGTTATAAGCAGAGGTGGAGGAAATGTGAACACTTTAAAGTGGACGCAGTCTTAAGTGACGAAATTAGGATGGTATTTTCAGGGAGGGGATATGAACGTAGTAGAATCTCAATGCGTCAGGCTAAACAGCCCACAGAGAGTGTGAGAAAATAAAGGATTATTCCCGGACAGGCTCCTCGGGATGTTTACATCGCAGTTTGTACTTAAAGCAGAGAACAATGAGCCTTATGCCAGATCTGAGTGGGCGTGGCCTCTGCTCTGTTAACTCAGCGGGTCCTCCTTCGCTATAATCAGTGAGACTACTTAGAGGTGCAAACAATCATTATGAGGAAAGAGCCTGACTTTCAGGCTTAAGGAAATCCTAAGGCCTCGGCAAATGAATAAGGTTGGGGTGCGGTTTTAAACGGTGAATGAAACCCCCCAAAAGCGGTATTGTATATCCGATGGAAAGCCCATTCGGATCAGCATACTGCTTCCTTAATATCAGTCAACACGAAGCCTCTCAAGTCGACCCTTAACGATGTTTGGCCGTAGTTACACGAGTGACATGGCGGTGTAGGAAGTTTATATATCTGAGGTTCCGGACAGCTAGGGAGAGTTACTCTACCCTGATGAATAGGGTCACAAAGAGTTGGAACGGGTAAAATTCCGTACACCTGAAGTTGAGGGTCTTAAGGACAGCCAGCAATGCTGGCTGTGGAATTCTGGGAGTTGAAGTCCACATGCCTTAAAATGGGCAAGGTTGAGAAACACTGAGAAGGACAGGGAGCACCAGGTTTCCAACAGCCGAACACAGCTCGAACGAACACTTGGCAAAGTAATTGATAAATAGCTGGAGAAAAAGAGACCGGATTTAATCGAGGCGATCCCCCAAACCGAGTAGCTTGTCGATTAGAAATCACCATAGTGACTTCAGGAAATGGGTTTAGGCGCGCATTTCCCAGTCGAAAAGAAGGCTGGAAGAGGCGAATCTCTTCCCTGCAGTGAAGCCGGTGCCCGGGCTTACTTTTCAGCAGAGCCACCGAGAGGCGGACTCGGGCCTTGCCGCCTTCCTTTCATAGCTCTGGGGATACGGCTCCTCCTCCTTGAACTGATTTCCGTAGATCTGTACGGTAGTGGCTACTGCTGACAAGAGTCCGCTGGAAACCGAGAAGGTAAAATAGAGCAGCCCCAGGCGGAGACAAAGTATGTGCTGGGAGAGGCTTGGATTTATACTGGCTATGGGGCAGTTCGCTTTGCTGTCTGCTAGGAAGGAAGCACAATTACTGTAGAGCCGGAGAAGGCCTGCGTGTTGCAATGATACAAGCTCTTTTTAATGGTTCCGGGTTTTTTTTTTTTTAAAAAAAGCAAAAGTTCAATACAGGTAGCCCTCGGCTTATAACCATTTGTTTAGTGACCATTCAAAGTTAGTGGCACTGAAAAAAGTGACTTATGCCCAGTTTTCACCATTACGACCATTGCAGCATCCCCATGGCCACGTGATCAACATTTGGATCCTTGGCAACTGGCATGTTTTGGATGGTTGCAGTGTCCTGGGGTTATGTGGATTACCTTTTGCTACCTTCTGACAAGCAAAGTTAATGGGGAAACCAGATTCACTTAACAATGTTACTCACTTAACAACTGAAGTGATTCACTTAACTGTGACAAGAAATATCGTAAAATGGAGCAAAATTCACTTAACTGTCTTGCTTAGCAACAGAAATGTTGGGCTCAGTTGTGGATATAAGTCGAGGACTATCTGTATATGAAGGAGTATTTATCTTGCCTCTTTTCCTTTCTACAGAGTTTTAGATGAACATTTTGGCTGTTACTGTGTTTAAGCCGAAACATGGAAAAATCTTGATTCATTACTATGACTACATGTAATGGAGGCAGGATAAATAAGGAAAACCTTTGTCTTGCTCATTGTTCAAGTTTCTGTCCAGGATTAATAAGCAATGTGAGAATTTTCTTATGTAATACTTGAGAAAGGAGGTGGTCTTTTTTACTATGTTGCATTAGGAAAATATCTAAAGGTTACGCAGTACAGGTAATCCTCGACTTACAACCATTCATTTAGTGACCATTCAAAATTATAATGCAGTGTCCTGAGGTCACATGTTCACCTTTTGCTACTTTGTGACAAGCAAAGTCAATGAGGAAGCCAGATTCATTTGGTAAGCATTTTACTCACTTAACAACTGTAGCAAGAAAAGTAGTAAAATTGGACAAAGTTCACTTAACAACCGTCTTGTTTAGTGCAGAAATTTTGGACTCAGTTGTAGTTGTAAGTCAAGGACTTGTGTGTGTCTTACCCTGGAGATGCAAAGAATCCATTCCCTTCTTAAGAAGTTTTCCAATTTGATACAGTATAATAATACACAAATCAGTCATTCTTGAAGGACTTTTTAATCCGCAGAGGTTTAAAGTATTACTGAATAGAAATTACACTCTGCTTTGATATCAGACTTTAACCATGTTCCTTCAAGATTATTAGATCAAGTTGGTGTCCTAAAAGATAAAGATGAGCTAATTTAGGAAGGTAACACTGGCAGCTACGAAGTCCCAATGGCAATTCCAAAAACAATCCTCCTGTGAATTCTGAAAACAAACAGGACATGATACTGTGCCAAAAACCTTTCTCCATTCTGTATTAGATGTTGCCAGTTGCCAAGCACTCAAATTGTGATGACATGACCACAGGTGGTACAGTGGTTGTTACTTCAAAGATGGGTAGCAAGTTACTTTTTCAGGAGTGATTGTAGTTCCAGAGTGTCATTGCAGGAAGGGTTGTAAGTCAAGGACTGCTATAATAATCTTTAGTTCTTTCTGGTTGCTTCTAGTAACCAGCCTTCGGGATCTCTTCTTATCATGTTTTTCTTTAATCCACAACATTTTCCCAGGGAAAGATTTCTTATGCTTAAATTCAAATGATTCATATAATTTTAATAGGATTTTAAACAAATCACAGGAAATATTTTTACAGTATAATAATTTCATCTTCTTTCTAGTCAGTCTGGTTCTTTAGTTTGTTTAAAAACTTTCCAAAATCAGTTCAATTCCAAATAAAGTTTTTAAATATACATAAAACTTCTTTCGCGAAGGATTGAAAGAAAATCATCCAGTATAATAAAAACATATCTTTCTGGAGATTCTTAATACCAAAAAGCAATATACAAGCCATATTCAATGGCTAAGAAACAGTTAAGAAAGGAAATAGGCAAATCCAGTGTCTGTTTAGAAGATTCCAAACTGCAGCTTGGGCAAAGCTGACTCTTCCAACTTCAGAGCTCTAAAACCTGCGGGAGACCACTATTTTACAGTCTTGTCATAGGGAGCATTTGTAGGAAGCACTATAGGCGATCCCAGATTATTGCCATAATCCTAGTTTGAGATATCTTTTTTAAACCCCCTCACAAAATAGCTAAATCAGCTGCTCAGTTATTGAAGAGCTTAAACAAATTAACCAGAAAGGTAACTGTGTAAATGGAAGTAAAGAATGCATTTGGGGAATCAAATCAAGCAGGGACTGAAGTCTATTTGGAGCAATATTCTGTGGCAATGAAAATAATAAGAATGCCTTATTTTACATCTGCACTGTGTCTATACAGAACATGCCAACATTGTTTTTCTGCACTATGCAGCTTTTCTGCAATAGAATGATAGGAGTGGAGATACTTAGCAGTTGAGGGTTTGTTCTGGCAAATTTGCTGTGTTCTTTGTAGCTAAAAGCAAATTCACTCAACCTAGAGTTCATTGTTGCTGTTTGTTGCCTCTTGTTCAATTTGTCTTACAGAGGGAGACTCCACTCATTTTATTCTCTCGAGAACCATCTATGCTGAGCCTAGAGATTGATTGGTTCCAAACTCTGTGGAATGTGCATTTGAGTCTGAATCCCTTGTGTCCCAGTTCAACATTGTAATACAGTATACTGGCTCCTTATGTTCTCTTGGAACAGAAACTGATGATGTAACCATGACAACTGCTTCTGCAGTTCTGAATTCTCATCAGTTTTTGGATCTCAAGGATGCAGAAAGTATATCTGAAGAAGTGAGGGTCAACCTCTCTTTGCTCAATTTTCTTGGCCTTTCCTGGCTTATTAAAATGTTCAGAAAGAACTGGTTCCATGTTTATGGAGGTAATTAATGCTTGAAGGTATAGGTCTTCCTGCTTAAAAGAAGCAGTGATATGTCTATCGTTAACAAAATGTTTCTTCAATCTAGAAGAGTTGAACAAATATCAACCATTTTCAAGGAAGAAAGAAGGGAAAAGAACTTTGTCTCACATGTATATGAAATTATTTTTTCTTTAAAAAACAATTTTATCGAAGTTTTAGTAGACATAAACTAATACAAAGTAAACTAGAAGAAAAAAGCAAAAAGTTCAAAATCTTCAGAAAAAAGAGAAAAGAAAAAAGCAACAAAGATAATAAAAAGTGGCTTCCAATTTTCATCATGCCAAGCATAAGCTAATATGCTAGCTTTTCACTCTCTTTTAAAGTTATAAATAAAAAAACGTCTTTTTCCCTTAGCCTAATTTGTAAACAATGCAGAAACCATCCTCTTCCATCTTCATCTTTCACAATCCTCGTTCAGCAAAAAGTCCATTAGGAGATATCAGAAATAGCAATAGTTTATCTCTGATCAAATAGTCCAACTTTGCATTTTCTTTTTGCTCTGCACAGTCCTTTTACATCATTTCTATGGCATTGCAGGATTTGATCTTTCACCCCCTGTCTTTAAAGAAGCCAACATTAAACTTTTCTACAACTTTAAAAGGAGTCTTCAAAGCTTTCACCAGCCTAATGTGTAACTCCCATAAAAGGCATCATCCAGGATTGCTTGTCACAGCTGTTCCATCTCTATATAACATTAAACCTTTTAAACTTTAAACGTAAAGAAGATTAAAAACTAACACAAATGAATATAAAGAAAAAAAGGAAAGAAGAAAACAGTGGAAGAAAGAAAAAAGTTGAAAAAGAGAAAAGAGAAAGATAAAAAGAAGTGGCTTCCAAGATTCTTCACATAATGTTCTTATGAAAGGTTCCACCAGTGCTGACAGCAGTGATGTCATCTACTGGTGTTTAAATCCATGGGAGAAGCAAAACAAAAGTATAAAAACAAACATGTCAAACATACTCATATTAAAAAAAAACTACACACAACTGCACAGCATTTAGGAACTTCATTGTTCTTCATGAATGACATTTTCTCTCCCCCGTCACATATCTGCATATATTTCTGACAACACAAAAGCTGTATTTTGAAACAGTTTTTGTTCATAATCATAAGACATTTTGCAATATTAAGGGATGGAAAAACTCTGCGTAAAACATTATTTTACTTCTTTTCAGCAGGCTATAAGGAAGAGGCAGCAACTGGCTGTTAATCATGTGAAAATAATGTGGCCCATAGCAGGAGTGGCCTATACCAGAGGTAGGCAACCTCGGCTCTTTTATGGCTCATAGACTTCAACTCCCAGAATTCCTGAGTCAGCATAGCATAGCTGACTCAGGAATTCTGGGAGTTGAAGTCCATGAGTCATAAAAGAGCCGAGGTTGCCTACCCCTGGCCTATACCCTAATCATATCCACAGTCCCATTCATCGTTGAAAAACTGAATGAAAATTAGCACTTCCTGAAGAGGAGCAAATGCATTCAATCTCTGGTCATCATTAGGAGCACCTACAATGACCCTCAAAATTCTATTGAGACTTGCATTTACTGTACTTTAATTTTGATTTTTTTTTAAAAAAAGTTTTAGGTTTTAATTGTTTTTTATGTTTATTGCTAATATTAATACTAAACAAGATGCAACAATTATAATGCTGCCTAGAGTCACACATCTGAGAAAGGTAGTTATATAAATTGAATGAATAACTATCTTGTTTATTCTTAAAACAAGTGATTTTCTTCCACAGTTGTCATGAGTTAAGACAATATAGAATATCAGTGTTGTACATCACATCTAAAATAATATGTCATATAGGACAACCCTTTGCGTGTTTATTCAAACATCTGGCTAGGTTTATTTTCTTTCTGTCTCTTTCTGTAACATAAATATATGTATATGTGTGTGTCAATATCTTTCCATAGAAAACTGAAATGTATTAAATAAACAGATTTTAAGTGTTATGTTTGAAGTTATATAAAATCAGTATTTTTTTCTCTTTCTTTTAGTCTTGCTGTAATCTAACCTTTTAGGAAGAGAATGACTCATTGGTTTCATCGAAACCCTTTAAAGGGTACAGCTCCTGTTTCATTCAATTACTATGGAGTAGCCACAACTCCAGCTGCGACAAAAATCTGCAAGTAAGTGATTGTAAGAACATATAGAAATGTGAGTTAATATGAGAAAACAACGCACATCTGAGAAGTATCTTTTGTTTTATTTCTCCTTTAATATAGTGATTTAAGGCTATCAAGAGCACGGCTCCTGGAACTTTTTACTGATTTAAGTTGTAATCCAGATATGATGAAAAATGCAACTGATTCCTATTTTTCACTCTTGAAAGGTAAAAAAAAAAATTCAATTATTTGGGAAGGTGAAGTTGTTCTGACTGTGCTGTTAAATTTTAGTCACACAGTTGCCAAAACCTGACAATGGTGAAGTGAAACCTGCTACTGTCAAGTGTGAAAGCACAAGAACTGGAGTGTAAAACTAGAGTGTAATTCCTAAAAAAAATGCTTCACAGATTTTTCTTTAAAATAAGAAAAACTCTTCACCCACTGACAAAGAGGAAGAAAATAGAAAATCCCCAACCCAGCCCATGCCACTGATGTTGCACTGCACATTTCCGCAGCTACCTTATTTTCAGACATTACCTCCATATTAACTATAGTCCTTGTTTTCCAAAAAGTTGCATTTCCTTTTGTAGAAATTTCGTGAAATAGTTGTGTAGAAATAGGGCATTGATGCAGATTATCAGTGATCCAAAGTCTGCTTTTGTGGTTGATCAAAGATGCTCAGGCTATATTTATCACAGAGGCACTATGTGAGAGCAAGGAGATTATTCTTTTAATTCTCAAGTTAGACATTTTTCCTGATTTCAGAAATGGGACTGGCCTCCAAATTCTGGTATTTCATTCTCATAGTGACAATTATCTAGCTCCAATTCCAAGACATTTTGATGACTACAGAACACAAGGAAGATGAAAGTGTCTCTGATTTGCAGAAAGCTGTAGAAGGACAAAAAAGAGGGAATATTGCCTATTGTTTCATTATTATTCCATTATTGTTTTCTACAAATCAACAATGTCTTCATTAATTTGTTCAGCCATGCAGCAATTACCAAGCCCAAAAAAGCTTTGAAAGGAGAGAAATAACAGACATTTCCCTGGTTTCTTCTATTTTTTCTCCAAATCAATGCAAAACACCGACACTCCTTCATACCCACGCATGGAATAAAGAACTACAGACTTGCCTTATTTCTCAGAGGCTTCTGTAGGGGTGGGCAAAATTCTCTGATTGCAGCACTGCCAATCTTTTTCATGACTGGATGCCAGGCATAATTGATGGCCAAGTGCAGCTTTACCCTTATGAATACATTGTGGAAGATAATGAGTGAAGAAGATCTTTGGGGTTTTCAGTGATATGCTGCCTTATTGTTTGGGCTTGAGCATTATAGATGATTTGAGAAATTGCAATAGTCTGCTATATTTTAATAATCTAAGCATGTGGTAGATAAAACAAATCAGTTAAATTGGAGGGATGAAATAGCAAACTCTCATTAGCATTGTCTAAAAAAAATCCACATGAGTGCAGTAATTCATATATCACTCTCCCCCCCCCCAACTCATTTTTCAAGCCAGTCACAGAACACGGTGTTTTTTTACCATTTTCAGTCCTTCATTTAGATAGCAGATAGTTGTAAACTTATAAATGTAAAAGACAGAGCTGAGCATGTTTATATGTCCTTCTACTGTACTTTTAAGCAATGTTTCTCAACTACAGCAACTTTTAAGAAGTGTGGACTTTAAACTCCCAGAATTCCCTAATCAGCATGCTGGCAGTTGAATTCTGGGATTTGAAGTCCATACTGTTGCTGAGGTTGAGAAACACTGCTTTAAACGACATCAATGGAGAGTTGCTCCTATTTTTTATCAAGGTCTCTTCCGTTGAGAACTTTCCCCATTTCCAGCCCATTGAGTTTATATTGCTAATTTTTATGTGTTTCTTTCCCCTTTCTTCTTTTTTTTAACAAACAGATTTTAGTTTTTAAAACCATGAATGCTATCTGCCACAAGATATTTCAGTGCCACATTCCTGTTCAGGGTACCATGCCATGCCTTCTTTTTCTTCTACAGCCATTGTCTCCATGTACAGTGCAGTGCTCATTTCCTATTAGTCTGTCAGGGAATTCCCTTAATTTTTTTTTTTTGCACATGTACAAATCGTGAAATTTACTAAAATATCTTTATTTATTTATTTAATTGATTTATCTGGCTACCTGTCTTGCAAATGCAACTTTGGGTGGCTAACAGCCTATTAAAACATTTTTTAAAAAATAGCAGAAGGATAACAGCCTTTAATGTTTGCCAAGGAAAAGTCAATAATAATAGTTTACAGGTTGCCTAACCAACCGACCCCTATGGTAGAGCACATTGAGATTTTCCAAAAGACAAATGGGGTCTAGATAATGCAATTTTTAGCTACTTAAAGATTATCTTTTGGAAAATAAATTTGCAGTTAGTATGTATAGAGTATATGTTCTTTTGTTATAATATATAAACTGAATGTCTTCTTTGTGATGAGGCTTCACCATCTGTTCCCCCTGTTTTTCAGAAGCCATTGGGGGAGGCCCTCTGGAATGATATAGGATAATGTAAGACCCCTCACGTGAGCAGAAGGACTTTCCATTTGTATTAATTTCTTTTGACATGAGGAAGCATCATTTTCTTCTTTTTTCCCCTTTTTTCCCCTATACATAGTGCATTGTTTTACTTGGCTCATTTCCTAGCATTTTTTGTCTGGTGTTGCTCTGAAAATGGAATGTCAATTACTTTGAATTTAACTAAAGAAATTATAGAATTGACCTCCAAGTATAGTATAAAACTGATCCCCAATCAGCCAAGTGAAAAGGAACTCTGAGGCTAATTTTGAATACCAGGCATTTTAAAGATTAAAAAAATTATATCAACAGTCACATTATCAATAAAAAATATAGGAAAAAATGAAAATAAATTATTATTTAAAGTGCATTTTGATTTGTAGGGGATGTGCTATTTTAATACTGCCATTATTTTAACAGGCTTTATAGATGCACTGGATAACTCTTCACAGGATAGCAAACTGAGATACATTCAGAATTTTAAATGGACCGACACGTTGCAAGGACAAATACCAAGGTATACATATAGTATGATTTTCAAATCTTAAGGTAGTTTTTAGTACAAAGAGTAAATAACTTAATGGATTACCATAATGATGTTATGGATTTTTTTTAAAAAAAAATGCTCTTACATTTCTTTCATACCTTGAAAGAGCCATCTTATGACAGAACATATTTCATCAGAGGGATCATTTGAAATCTTGGTTTGCAATTATCACCATGTGTGATTTTTGTTATGACTTCATCTTTTTTCATTGTCTAATGGACTATACTGTACATACAAATACAACAGATTAATAAAAATATTGCCTATATTACTGGCAAGATAATGACACTTAGAAGTGAGTATATGTTTTGTAATCTTTTATGTGGTTAGTTCTTAACATTATATCTCCTTGGGATTTGTACAATTAAAAACAAGCCCTTGTGTGACAGTATATGCTTAGATAAATTAATCTTAGTCAAGATGAAATTTATTTTTTCAGTGTTATTATATTGGGTCAAGCAAATTTTCCACGTCTATAAAAAAAATCCTGTTGTCTGTAATTTAATAGTAGTGCTCAAATAAATATTTTAAAAGAATGGTGGTAACTTGATTGACTGCTATTTCGGTATTTTCATTCTGAAGGGAAGAACTGTAAAAATACCACACTCTGGACATTCCTGACCCGACTAAAACAAAACATGAATTGTTTCAGTCAGAACAATTCCACTTTTCAACCTATTAAAGTTCTGTGTGAACATTTCAATACTTTGGAAGTTTGTTCCCATGATTTCCTGAAAATACATTTTGTAGCATTGTGCCTTATGTCTAAAAGATAAATGGAAGTGTTGCAATGTTTTGTACTTCAGAAGTGTTATAAATTGTGCAATTTTTCCCCCTTTCTTCCCTTAGTGCCCAGCAAGATGCTGTGTTTGAATTAATTTCTATGGGATTTAATGTGGCCTTGTGGTTCACTAAATATGCATCAAGATTAGCTGGGAAAGAAGAGTAAGTATTTTCACTTTAATTACAGTAATGTCAGAAAGTTAAAAATATACCTTAAGCCCATTTGAAATTGGTGGGTTTGGTTTTGCTAAACTGTTCATAGGATCTGAGCCTAAATTGCTATTTAGAGTAAAACCATTTCAATCTATAGTCTTCAACTTTCTTATTGTGAAACTGTATGGGTCCCAGCCATATGTTTAGAAATGTAAACCAAGTAGAATTGCAATATTGGACCGTAAAAGAGAGAAAAAATTTCTGTCTAATTATTTGGGAATATTCTCCTTATCTAATGTCCTACATCTTCTTTTCTATATATGTCCAGAAAGGTGATTTTCTTGTCCTAAGGATCAACAGCTGATTTATGTAGAAAACTGATTATGTATTTGAGAAGTTCAGTCTACAAAATTCATCCAAAATATGAAATCAAAAGAAAAAAACTAATATAGTAACAGTAGCACCTGATATCACAATTAATGACAGAACATGATATGGTTCCATTAATAGTGTATATGATGAGTGTATGCTTCTCTCTTAGTTGGCTATTTTTTTTTTGTAAGATACCTTTCAGAAGCCTTGATTTGAGTGAATTCTGATTAGCTATAGGATCTTTACAGCCCAGACTAGTTGCAGGAAACTTGGCTAGCATCATTGTCTTAATTTTTAGATTCCAAATAAACCATTTGAATTAGTAATGAATACCTTATGCAGTGATTTAATTAATTTGATTAAATAATGAATATCTTATCCAGTAAAACATTAGCCAGAGTGATATTTGCTGAAAGTTACTCCAATTAAAGTACAAGAGTATTGTGATAATCAGATTTTTATTCAGCAGTGTGCATCATAGTTCTGCATCTTATAGTAGAGAGTAGTGGGTTAGATGGACCAAAGAGGCTGATATTTGTTCCCTGCACTACTTAATTTTTTTGATTCCTTAGAAATATTGTATATTATTTGCTGAGCAAACATGAAATAAAGGAAACAATATTTGGCTAAGCAATATTATTAAGCAAAAGAACTTGGCTAGCAATAATATTAAGACGTTTGATGGATGATATGTAAAATTCCTGAAGCATTTCAATACTAATGAATTGCTAATGTTTAGTGTAACAGAAGATGAAGCAAAAGATGTCCACCGCAGTATGAAAATAGCAGCTGGGATTTTCAAACATTTAAAGGTAAAAACATATTTTTTCCAGAAAAGTTGCATTTTCTTTGACTTCAATGCAAGATTAAAATGGCATTTTAAAGCTGGCACAGAAGCCTGAATGAAAAAAGAAAGGCAGCATTAATGAATAATAGATAGAAATGTGCAGTGCATATGTGGATTCTGAAATACTTCTTCCAAAACATTGCTGAAGCATGCACAATTCACTACTTCTCTTATTATAATAGCTCATGAGGATCCACATATTATTTTAAAAGACTTATTTAATTTATAGGGTTAAAAATAGTTCCAGATGTTCAGGTAGAACCCACAGACTACCTTCTTAGAATTGTTCCACTGCAAAATTTACATGGGAGATGCACATGTTTCCCATTATTCCTTGCGTAAATAGAAAGTTTTAAAAAAATTGTTCCTTAAACAAAGTGTTCAATGAAGGAGATTTTAAAATATTAGATGCCATTCTTAAATTGATAGATGTCTGGTAGAATGGTTGCAGTTTTCATATGGATATGCGTGATAGTTATTAAGTTCTCATAAATCTTTAGATGTTTCATTAGTTAATTAAATGCAGCCACTGTTTCCAATCCTAAAGTGCATTTTTTTTTCTTTAGGAAAGCCATATTCCTAAATTGATCACTCCTGTAGAAAAAGGAAGGGATTTAGAAGCTCGACTAATAGATTCCTATATTATCCAATGTCAAGCTGAAGCACAAGAAGGTATTTATGCAATATTACTAACTTTGCATCTGAGAAATGTTGGGGGCTTCCTCTCTGAGGATTTTAAAACAGTTTTTTCTGCTGGAGAGCTGAATGGTAGAACATAGTCCAACATAATGTATTACATTGCCCCTTATTCCTTTCAAAAGCAGCATCCATGGAATTATTAATGAAAAGCAGGATGTAATAAATTGCCTAATAACAGACACCTCATGAATTTTAGGGGGAAAAATCCTAAAGTGCAAGCCTGCCCACCTATAATAACAACATAATACTTGTCTGGCACAAGTGGCAAAAGTATCTCTGATCTTAAAAATCTAACAGGATCTCTGGCAGTGATGTGGTGTATTAGGAATTATGCTCTAATTTTTAAATGCCAGAAGCAGTACTTTGGTTCAATAACTAATTGACAACCATGCATTTGCTTTGACAGAGATTAACCTGTGCATAGATGCTTTACTGAGTACCTCATCTTATACACCTGTTGCAGTTTTCCAAATACAAGTACAAGCACATAATCCCACATAGTAAACAGAAAAAGTTATTTATTTAGGATGGGATGGATGGGATAGTGTCATAGAAAATGGCATATACAAGTAGTCCTCAATTTACAGCCATAATTGAGCCAAATATTTATGTTGTTAAGTGAGGCAGTTGTTAAGTGAGTTTTGCCCCATTTTACGACCTTTCTTGCCACAACTGTTAAATGAATCACTGCAGTTGTTAAGTGAATCTGGCTTCCCCATTGATTTTGCTTGTGAAAAGATTGCAAAAGTTGATCACATGACTTTGGGACACAGCAATAGCCATAGGTATGAGCCAGTTGCCAAGCATCTAAAATTTTCATCACATGATTATGGGGTACTGCAATGGTCATAAGCGTGAAAAATGTCATGTCAATTTTTTCAGTTCATAACTTTGAACGGGCACTACATGAACTATTATAAGTTTAGGACTACCTGTACTACTTATGATTTAGATGTCTTTCCATTTTTTAATTACTCAGTGTTCACTAAAGTATTAAAAAGAAGTCTGGAATCCATAGCACTGGATAGGGGCAAGGGTTTCAGTGGCCTCTTCCATTTCCCTACTCCATAAGTCAGTGAAGTCACACAGCATCATCATTGATTTTAGTGCCTAGACATTCCCTGCGAGCATTTAAGAACATCTGTTGTCCCAATAAAACCATCACCTGTCCAAAAATATGCTTTAAGTCCTGAGTCCCGTGGGGAGAAGGGCGGCATATAAGTCAATGTATTAAATTAAGACCAAACTTCACCAGATGGGAATCTCTGTCACGAGGTTACTATAACCATCCCCCTCTTCCAAATATCCATCCCCTATCAATGTACCAGAGCAAATTGAAGTCCTGCCTTGCATGCTGGCATAGTGGCAATCTGCAACAGAGCCAGGTCTGCTATCAAGATTGTAAATTTCCTGCCTTTCCATTCCCCTCCTACTATCAGTCTACCATAGGGATTTCTTATTCATACATATGTACAATGAACATGAAAATGGAATCAGTTATAATTACACACACACCAAAAAATGTGCCTACACAACAATCTCATTGAATATAAATTCAAGGACGGAGACTCAGTTCTCACATAGGCTAATATCCCAACTCAGTTCTCAAAACATTATAAGTAAGAAAAAAGAGAAAGAAATATATATTGCATTCTGAGCAGGTTTTAGGTGTTTAGAGACGCATAGATTAGAGAAATAAATGGGATGCAAGGTGATGTTTACAGTAGTTTCTCATTTCTGTCTTAGTGACAATTGCCAGAGCTATTGAGCTGAAACACAATCCTGGTCTAATAGCAGCCTTGGCCTATGAAACAGCCAATTTCTATCAAAAAGCAGGTATGTTGATATTATTTAATTAAAAGTTGGTGAATATTTGATGCAATTTTAAGGCACAGAATCTTATCTGTGGACAGAGCACCAAGGAAGTACGATGGATAAAAATTGAAATCTGTATCCAGGTAAACTTGCTTGATTATTATTTATTTTTCTTTTTATTGTGACTGAAGACAAGAAATCAGCATAAATCTTTCACTTTTAAGGCTTGGAATATATCTCTGATTCATGGACAAATGTATCTCTACAGACAATATTTTGGTTTTAATCAGGGCTTTAATATTGAATTAATCTCTTAGCAGATATTGCAAATAGATAAATTAATGAATAGATTACTGTTTTAAAAATATTATCTTTTCCTAGATCAAATGTTATCTAGTCTGGATCCAACGTATACAATGAAATGGAGAAAATACCTTCAGTTGAAGTCATGCTTCTATATGGCTTACGTGAGTATTCAGGGTTTTAAAAACAAATTTAAAACCATTTTCAAAGGGCTATGAAATTGTTATATAAAATAGCAATCTATGTTATTCAAGCAATATTTTGTAAGTCTTTTGGAGTTCATGTATTTATAAATCAAAGGCAGCTCAACTCAGAATGATTCTGAAACAAAATCCAAAACAATAAAACAATGGTGATAGCAAAGGATGAATATTCTTAGTATTTTAATACAGTTGCGTTCAGAAGGCATTCCGTCCCCTAAACCAGAGCTTGTGGGGAAAAGCCAGGCCTTCAAAACTACTTTAAAAGACAGCAGGATCCAAGCTAGTTTTATCTTCAGGAAGCTGCTGTTTTTCCAGAAGTCAGGTCCTAAGACAGAGAAAGCATGCATCCTGGAACCTATCAAATGATACGTTTTAAAGATAGAGCCTGGAGCTTTCACCTCTGTTGGATCTTATTGGACAAATAGTGGAAGACACGTCATCCATGTATTACGTCTTCCCTTCTTAATTTATTATACATACAAACTTTTCTTGGTCTTGGGATTAAGAGTGAAATGATATGTAGTAGACTTTTGATTTAATGGACTTCAGGATAGTGGACTTTGGATTTGATTGATCTGCAAATCTGCATATCTGAATTTTATCTAAATTTCAGGCAAGCAGACTTTTTTCCAAATAGTGAAGCAAGCCAGCTGTTTGGTAAATCAAAGTTTGTTGCTTTCTTTGAAAGAATATTCCGTGTTATCTGTAAAGTATACTTTCCCGTATATATTCTGCTTGAAAAATCCCAATTAATGGTAAATTCAACAGTAAATGGTAAATTTAAACCCATTTGAAGTAATGCACATTTCTTTGCCTCATGTCTGTTGAGCAGAGGAAGCAGTATATTGTCTCAAATAAAACATGGCAGAGTATAATTACCCATTTTTATGCATAATTTTTTATTTTGCTCTGGGATAGCTGTGCTGGGATAGCTGAGAACATAGAGCAGGTACTTGTCTTTTTTAATGGATTGTTCTTAACTGCCATATATCAAAATCCTTCTGCTACTGTAAGTGAGTTGGTGAACATGTTTAGCTGGAACAGCCTGCCTTTATTTTGCCAAGTACCATAGTAGTAAGAACTATAGAAACAGCTAATTGCTCTCTCTTAGCTCTATGCCTTCCAGATCTTGAAGTTCACTCTTCTGCCCTCACTGCTAAAGTAAGTAAGAAATTAAGGTAATTCCCAGAGCATGCCAAGAATATTAAAGAAATTCTTGCTTCCCCCAGGCCTATTGCTACCATGGTCAGACCCTCTTGGCCAGCGATAAATGTGGAGAATCTATTAGGTCTCTACAAGAAGCAGAAAAATGTAAGTGCTTTTTCATAGTTTATAAAATAAACTGCATTTCTCAACATTAAAACTAGTAAATACTCAAGAAATCGTACATTTGAATAATCAAAGCCTAACTTTAATTCTTGAGAGGTGTAAGGATTACTGTGGTAGAATTGCTTGTGACAGTCTAATCTGCAGGGAGAAGATCATATCCTGTTTTTTAAAAAAATTCATATTAGAGCTATATGTCATGGTTCCGAGACTTACAACAATTCATTTAGTGACCATTCAGAGTTACAAAGGCACTGAAAAAAGTGACTTATGACTGTTTTTCACACTTAACAACAGTTGCAGCATTCCCATGGTCAAGTGATCAAAATTCAGACACTTGGCAACTGATTCCCAGTTATGATGGTTGCTGTGTCCTGAGGTCATGTGATCAGCTTTTGCGACCTTCTGACAAAGTCAGTGGGGAAGGCAGGTTCACTGAACAGCCGCGTTACAAACTTAACAACTGCATTGATTCACTTAACAACTGTGGCAAGAACGGTTGTAAAATGGGGCAAAATTCACTTAACAAATGTTTCACTTAGCAACTGAAATGTTGGGCTCAGTTGTGGTCGTAAGTTGAGGATTGCTTGTAATGCACTTTATTAAAACTTGTATAAAAAAGCAGTAAGAACGCGGACTGACTCTTTGCTTTCTTGGAAAGTTTATGCCAAGGCGGAAAAGCTATGCAAAGAATATGGTGAAACCAAAGGGCCAGGGACTACAGCGAAACCATCTGGACATCTCTTCTTTATAAAATTAGGAACTGTAGTGAAAAATGCCTTAGAAAAATCTCAGCGAGAAAATGGATTCATGTAAGTATATTTTTTCAAACAAATACATTTTAATCTGTGGTTTTTGTAACGTGCATTTAATAAATTGATAGACCACTTAACTTTACCGTGTTTGTGGATGGCAAACAATATCATACAATATAAAAATAGACATTCAGGAAAAAAAAACCTCACAAACTCTAGGAGACCAATTATTTTGGGAAATGACATTCACTCTAGCCCAAATCCTGGGGAAAGAGCCAGGTTTTAAGGGCTCTCTTAAATAAGATCAGAGTGGAGGTCATTCTAGAGCAGCGGTCCCCAGCCTTTCCAGCTTGGCCTGGCACGGGGGGGGGGGGGCAGGGGGATAGTTCCATGCAAATGATAGGCATGCGCACACAGCCCCATTTGTCTGAGCGCAAGCGCCAACCACTTATGCAAGTGGAGCGCACGCACACACGCTCGCCCGCTGCTTGCACGGCCTGTCTCCAAACGGGCCATGGCCCGATAGTGGGCTGTGACCTGGGTGTTGGGGAGCCCTGTTCTAGAGGATAGGTGCTGAGAGAGAATTGTCATTGCTAATAAGTGGGACTGGAGAATAACAATTCTGTCTGATTGAATAGTATGGGCAGAAACTATAGAAAACAAATGGTGTCTCATATAATCAGATTCTGTGCCATGAAGGGCTTTATAGGTAATAACTAGCACTTAGATTGTACCTAGAAGCCTACTGGTACCCACTGCAGCTCATGAAACAACTATATTATGGGGGCATACAATGAGATGCCCATAACTGCCCCTGCCATTGAGTTCTGGATTACCTGCAGCTTCCAAGTGGTCCTGAAGGCAACCTCCTTGCAAAAGTGGGATAGCACCTTCAAGGGTTTTCTCAAACCAACTGGTTTTTATGGTAGAATTACCACATTGTCTGCATAAAGCTGTACAGATACCTGCCTGCTTATTGCTTTTAGGGAATTACGTTCTTTATTTAAGTACCCCATTATTGGACTGTCTCAACAAATTATTTTAGAGGGACTGTAGGAGAAAACCTGAGGTCTAGTCGTGAAAGCCAGTTGGGCAGCCCTGAACTAGCCACTCTTTCTCAGCCTTAGGAAGGAGGCAAATGGCAGACCACTTCTGAAAATGCCACCAGGAAAACTGCATGGAGTTGTGTGGGAGGTCAGCAGGAGCCAAGCATGACTCAAAGACAATGTTCCCCTCACTCTGCGAATATGTCTTAAGGGAATGCTGTTCTTTTCTTTCATTAGAATTAAGGATTTAGCCAAAGGTGGTATTGCTGATTGCAAACTGATGAGTGAGAGAGATTTGCTGCAAGTCTATTGCCTTGTAATGGTGCAGACTCACCGTAAATATTTGCAGATGCCACTGGAAAGTGGCACCTTCCTGGCCCAGATGCAGAATTTTGTTGAGGTTTGCTATTGGCTTCAGGGTACCGCCTCAACAAATTGGTCTTGGGAAGCTTGCAGAACGTAGTTTTTCTCAAACCAGGCACTAGCTTCATTGACAACTGCAACAAACCACCATTACAAAGTGATGACAATATGCATCAGAATGTCAGAATGCAAATGTAATGATACGATAATATCTGATATATCTGATGTACAGTTGTATTATGATGCCCATACATCATTTCTCCTTCTTGCCTGCCAATTCTTCCCAGCCTTTCTCCCTTTTTTAAAAAAAATAACATGCAGCTTCTTCACTGAAGTGTGTGTGTCTCTCTGTGTGTGAATGAGTGAGTGAGTGAGAGAGAGAGAGAGAGAGATTTGCATTATTAATCAGTTCTAAAAAAATGAGACAGTTCTACCATGAGCAGAATAATTTTTAATCTACAATTAACATTACTGAAACCATAATGTACAATGGAAGGGGAATTAGATTTTCTAACACTGACTGGCCACAATGAAGTAATTTGGGGAATCAATTTTCCATTCAGCCAGTTGGAGTGCTAAAACTCTTCTTTGTCTTGGATTCTGTTTTGACATGTTTGTACATGTGGTTATAAAAATAATCTTCAGTGTGTTTAGCACCTGTCATATTTGTGGAAGTGGAGTGCAGATTGTGAATTTCATGCAGTTAAGTTATGCAAGCTACATGTAGCATTAGTAGGTGCTAAACTATATGGAATTACATTGAAAAGAACTAGGACTGCTAACATCCAATTTGGTTTTCTTTTAGTTACTTCCAGAAGATTCCTCCAGAGGTTCCCCAACTTGAGCTGAAAGCAAACTATGGTCTAGTTGAGCCGATTGCTTTTGAATTTCCGGCTGTGCATGCTCAGTGGTCCCCAGAATCCCTTGCTGCATTTGATCTCACCAAAAGGCCAAAGGATGACAGTGTAAGAACACATACAGGTTACTTTTTTCACCAGTGTTCTCTGTAATGTTCAGTTTTTATATTGGTTCTTTCTTACTCAGGAGAAGAGAAATGCTGGGGATAGACGGGAAAGTGAGAACATCTTGTGAAGGGTGGGGGTTTTACCTTTTCTCAAAGGCAATATTTTGCCAAATTTTTAAAAAGTCTTTAACTTTATTGTAACCCCAATGCAACATCATTTTTTCTACTTTACTTTTATTAATAGGCTAAACCAAAGCCAGAGGAAGAAGTGAAACCTCTGAAAGAACCAGATATAAAGCCTCAAAAAGACACCGGGTGCCAGATCTCATAAGATCCTCAGTTGCAAAGAACTACTCCTTGTGACCTCTGTTCTGTAAACTTTAGGGTTATTGTTGCCTATCCTGTGTGCTAGTTCTTCTGGCTGCCTTTACTGTAACAAATACATTCCTTTTCAACTTCATATGTGTGTATGTGCGTGCGCACGCACACACATATGCACACACACACATGCATACATACATACACACATCTTTTCATTGGCTGGGTTGAATGGCTTTCTTTCAGAAAAAGAAATTGAAGAGATTAAAGCTAGATTGAAAAAAGTTTGGGACCATAGTGGAAATTAACATTTAGATGAGCAGACATTAGATTCTGGAACAAATAAAGGTGAATGCAAGGGATGAGGTTGAGGCTCTGCGCGGGGTTTTTTAAGGTTTGCACGACAATGAAGCAAACAAGACAATAATGTATTACTTTGTTTTAAAGACAAATTATTCATGCCTCGAATTATTTAGAATAAACCACATTACAAGCAAGAGGAAAATACAGTTGAGCACAGGAAATTTCTAGACAGTATAAATTAAGTCCCTGTAGATTGCTGCCATTTTTGCACTTCAAATTTTACAAAGGAAATCATAGCAAAAGTGATTTCAGATCTAGTGGTTGATTTTATGTGGTCACTCCCTGGGGAATTAAGTACTGCTATGTCAAATCAGTAAGCGTATTTTCCTAAATAAAGGAGGCTTTCCATAATAAATTCTATTGATTAAACATTTAGATTTATGACACAAGGTAATAATTGAATATGTGAAAAAAGCCCTGAGTAAAAAGTATTAAAGCATGCTAAAAATAGAGAAATTGGTGCACAAGAGTGAGTTTTATTGATGTAATTGGAAAGTTAGTTACCAGAAGATTCAAAAAGATGATACCAAGAACAAGTCTCATTTGGGAATAAAAACTGAAATTCAAAGCATGCTTTTTATCTCTGCTTATGTCACTTGGTTTCCACCTCAGTTCACATGTGAGAGATTTGTCCTGTAAGACTTCAGTAATATTGTTTCATGGTATACAGAACTACAAACAAGGCTGTTTTTAGTATTTTGTGCAGTTACATTACTATATATCTTCCTTCTATATATACTAACTAGAAACTCGCAGTATGTAGTTTGTTGGCAACAGTAGTGTATTTGCTGCCAGCAAAAAACATTGCTGTTTTCAGTCTCTGACATTAAAAAAAAAAAAACAATAGTAGGTAAGTTATAGCTAACATGTTTAAGGACTTTTCACATGGAATTTGATTTCATAAAATTTTAATTTCAAAGTGGAGAATTCCAGTTAATGTGTACTTGGTATGATTGACATCAAATCCGGCAATTTATATATTGGATTTGTTTAAGTTTATGGTAACTTCTATAAACTTATCTGACTTGTTTTTTTGGACCTATATTTTTGAAGACAGTGGGCATATTTAATGTAGTTTAGGGATATCACCTAGCACCTATGGGAATCCTTCTAATACCAAAATGTTTAGGCGTTTATTTTGCCCCATTTGTGTTTATTCATTAAATTGATATCTTTGTCCTATTGCAATCCTATGTTTTGACTGTCACCAAAAATCAAGTCAATATTTTCCTGCTTACTTGAAATAAACTAGATAAATCAGTCACAAGAAAATATTTGAATTATGAACATAAATATGTTCTGTACATATTTTACTAGATATGTAAAGATCTTGAAGATATCCAAGCACTTCTCAATAGTGATCAAATGGATCTGAGCTACACAATGTATAGTAAGGAATTGTAGTCTTGATAAACCTGGTTAGTAATACATTGTATGATGCATTTCATTTACAGTTATTGTACGTTTTGAGAGTTTTTATTTATTCAGTTCCACATATTTGCGCAGCCATGTTTTGTTTCTTTAACAGTTGGAAAAAGGTTACAATATTATCAGTTTCACTATAAATATCTTTTAAAAAAGGTTTGCAACAATTAAAAAAGTATTACAAAATATAAATGATCTAATCTGCAGACATCAAATTTTTTTTATCTATTTATTTTTTGAGGGAAGGATTCAGAAAGTCATCTTGCTGTGGTAAAAACATTTTGTTGCATCATTGTTAAGGTTTCCCAGGAAATTATTGGTTAACGATATGGTAAATAACAGATACTGTCAGAATTGCTAAATTTTAAAAAGCGTGGACCTGATCAATAATTAGGATGGAAACACTGGGAAGCTTACAAAAAATTGAAAGTTGAAGTAATGTTTATTTTTAAAAGGCTTCCTAACACATCTACAATTAGAATGTAATATTTGTGACGATTCAATTATTTTAAATTATTTTGGTTGCGTGTGCATGCATACACACATGGGCACACAAATCCAGACATACACTCCCACAGACACACAATTCTGTCTTTTTCTGAAAACTCCCTAATTATATTTTGTTTAGAATATGAATAAATTAATTTTAATGCTTGGCCATTGCAGTATGCAGACAAATGCATCTTCACATGCTATTTGATTGTTATTGCATTTTGTCCTGATCCAGGCCTTTAGGCTTTAATTATATCAATAAAATATAAATTAAAGTACTCCTTGTTTGTTTTTTCAATATTTACCATTATTTTGACTATTATAGAAAATATGATTTTGAATGAGACATAACATTTTACACTCTTAAGATATATGTATGTGTATATATAGGTTTACTTTCATCAAATGTACTTTTCTCATTAAAAATGATCAAATTATTCACTATCAATATATTTTCAAATTGTTTCTTTGTATGTTTGCATACTTTTTAGATGAATTAGAGCTGGGTTTTCTATCTATACAAGATGAAAATTGGACATACTGTTTTACATGTTGAGTTGCTTTATTTTACACCTTTCTAGTTAAGAAATATATGAACAAAGTCTAACACAGGCTTAAAACAGTTTTATAGAAACTGTGTAAGCCTGATAACACTGCATAAATAATAAAATGGCTTGTTGATTTTTTTCCATCATCCAACTGATTTGTGCATAATAACATTAGCACTTAAATTTATATACCTGTCCATAGTGCTTTACAGCACTCTCTGAGCAGTTTACAATGTCAGCATATTACCCCCAACAATCTGGGTCCTCATTTTAGAGACCTCAGAAGGAGACCTCAGAAGGCTGAGTCAATCTTGAGCCAGTCAGGATCAAACTCCTGGCTGTGAGCAGAGTTAGCCTGCAATACTGCATTCTAACCTCTGCCACCATAGGCTCCTAAAATGGGTTTACAATTCACATACTCCTGCTTTATAACCCAGGGTGCGTGGTTTTGTGTGCTGCCTGCATCCTGTGGATGGGGCTTTGCTTGTCCGTGCAGACCAGTTGCTGGCATGCCGTGGCCCGGTACTGGTCCAGGGACCAGGGATTGAGGACCCCTGTTCTAACTGATGCCTTAACCACTATACCAAACTTATTGAAATGAATACAATTCTTGGTATAGTTCAAAACCTTATTAGATTCAAAGGAGCTGGTCTAGATGGAGGTCATATAAGGTAAACTTTTCAACTCCTATTTTTTTTTTCTCTTGCATGTCTTTGTCATGTTAATGTGACATATACCTGTAAAAATCAGGTACAAAATACTATCACAACTCAGTGTTGAATCACTTATAAACAGAATGCACTTTTTGTGAGACTTTTTAGAAGTAAAGCAAGAGTTTAGTCAAGTAGAAATATCTATAAAAGCTGCTTTCATCTCTTGACCATGCAGAGTTGCTGAGAGTTGGGAGGCATATAAATTTAATAAAGTAATATTATCATCATCATCACTGCCAGAATTCTATTGCAGAAGAATGAACAGCTCCATCCCATCCCTTGGTATTATTTCCATAGGGCATTTTGATTCCTTCAGTTTTCACTATTTAACCCATGCTGATGGTGAGTGTGGCACATATAGCCAGTCCAAACCCATTGTAATATCTTGGCTGTTGAGCAGTGATTTAATCTCAGATCATGTTTTTCCATACGACTTTGGATTCTTCATGTAAAGAAGGTGGATAGCAAAGCTGATATTTCTAAATATTTCATATTATAAATTGACATTCTGCTAGCCCAGTGGTTCTCAACCTTTTTAATGCCGTGACCCCAACCGTTTGTAAGTCGAGGACTAAACTGGTCGTAAGTCGAGGACTAAACCGGTCGTAAGTCGAGGACTAAACCGGTCGTACGTCGAGGGCTACCCAACCAGTCGTAAGTCGAGGACTTTCCCTGCCCGGGAGCGCCATGCATGCGTGGTTCCGCCCCCTGCGCCGGCCGAGGCGTAGCTGGCAAGCGGCAGAGACGGAGCAGGCCGACCACCAGCTGGCCCAGCCCAAGGGAGGTAAGGCACCTGCCGGAAAAGGGGGAAAAATGGCGGACAGCCTTGCTTGGCGACCCCCGTGAAATGGTCGATCGACCCCAAATGGGGTCCCGACCCACAGGTTGAGAACCACTGTGCTAGCCTCCGTTCTGTAAGTGTCTATGGGAGATTCTCAGTCATCCAGGTCATGGTTGTCCCAAAGATCCTTTTTCAAGAGGCAACTGGAATTTCTTGTTTTTCTTTGAAGATGTTAAGCTTGTCATCCAAAAAGCTACTTCAGCTCTGACTAGATAGTGGAGAATGGAAGGATTTATATTCCTTGCAGACAGCTGGTCCTTTGCATCCTTTTAGAGAGTCGTTGAGGCCACTTGGGGGTTTGTCTGTGTCCTCAGGGTCACCTGAGTAGTGCAGATAGGTGTGAAGTCTTCTTGGAACTGCTGAAAGGACTGTGTTGTGGAGCTGTATTTTCTGCAGGATGTTTTCTGCCCTGTGTCCCTTCACAGTTGAACAGAGGCGCAGGCTGTTGTGGATGAGTCTGTGTTGTCTGCATCTCAAACTGAAGCGCAAATGGTTCCCGTAGTCTGCAATTTTTCTGGTAATCCATTCAGTTAGAGCTGAAGAAGCTTTTTGAATGAGAAGCTAAACATCTTCAAAGAAAAACAAGAAAGTCCAGTTGCCTCTTGAAAAAACACCTTTGGGACCTCTGTTTTGTAATTTCTGATGCTGCATGGTGTTCTTTCCAGAACTGATGTATTCTTTTCACATAAACTCTTCTCATTGGACTTGATTTGTAATGTTAAATCATTATTTTTTCATTTTCAATCTTCATGTATTTGCAGTGGATAAGCAATTTATGGTTGGTCATTATTACTATTGAAGGGCTGTAGAAGGGAGAAAGAATTAATTGAAGGGCTATTGAAAAATCAAACAAAATAAATGTATACTTTATTTTAGTTTCTCCACAGGGCACTGTTGCACTGTGAGATTTGTTTATTAAAACCCTATGTTTTGGGGCACAAGCTATTATTATTATTGTTTTTGTTATTGTTATTACAGCATAAGCTTTCATGGATCAAAGTCAATGTGGAGAAAAGAAGAAACAAATGATGTTAGAGAGGGACAGAGTATAGACAGAATGGTTTAGAACTCAAGGTTTTTTTTATTTCATGACACATGTCTGGAAATAAATGCAAAGAGATTGTTAGAAAAACTTCAACAAGTCCACCTTTGTTTACAGCTGGATCCAAAATTCTTACCTTTGCAGTGGGGTACCCCTTCAATCACTGCCCTCTATTGAAAATATAAAAAAGGAAATATATATGAAGATGCATGTGTCTTATTCTCAATTTGCACATACCAAACAGTAACACGCTTTTTTCTAGGGTATTTGCAGAGAAGGGTCCAAAAAATCAATGTGGCAATCCCAACCAGATGATTGAAGCCCTGCTACTTTTTAATGTGTATATAAAAAAAGGATGGGGGTGCCATATTGTTTTTTTAATGCCTCCCCAGCACCCTTGTTTTCTCTTCTTATGTTGCTCCCTCACTCACCTTAAGAAGTTAGCATGCAGCAAGTTAGGTCACGATATCTTAAAAGACATGGCAATGCTATAAAGCAGCCCATAGATGGCATAGCATCTACAGTTCCAGGTAATGTTGCTTTTCAGCATAGGTGCAGTATTTGTTTGTGGCTGATTAGATCTGTTGGAAAAGAATTGTACTCCCGGAACTTCTAAACCACAAAAGCATTTGACTTAAAAAGGCTGCGGCAGTGGGGAGGGGGGGGGAATGGACCACAGAAAAGAAGGTGCTGAAGAGAGCTCCCCAAAATGGGAATGTATTGATTGTAATCATATGTGTAGCCATTCTCTAAAGTCTCATTTTACATTCCTTTAGCTTTCTGGTTATCACTATAAATATTTAGATTTGGTAATTAAATTACGGAAGAGGAGAAAGTCCAGCCCACATTTCAAACTTGGCCAACCCTTGTTGACAAAGGGATAGCCTGGTCTACTTTACTGCTTTTTTTTCAGCTGGCCTCCTTTTTAATGTTCTTTTTTTCCAAAAAATTTCTGCATGGACACCCAGTGATGTGTTACACATCTTCTATCTCAGCATTATTTTAATCAGATATTATTTCCATGATGGACAATACCCAAAAAACTCTAAAGGTGAGTTCTTGTTCTGCTCTTTCAAATCTCGATTGCTTTAAAGTCGATTCAGGAGGAAATTCTTTGTGTTTTTCAAAGACATTACAATCTTTGTTGCAACAATGACTTGAAAGATAATGCTGAAGAATAAATTTGTAGTTTGGGGAAACCTGTTATACAACAAAAATGCATAAAATTATTAAAATGTGTGCTGATGTGCAATCTTCCTTCTTAATGGAATTGAAAATTCACTGCTGATAGTTAACCATTGTTTTGAAACAAGCTGAATATAGCTGAAGGATGGATTTAGAGATGAAGAATCAAGAATGCTTCATTTTCTCTTGTTTCCTTTGGCCTTCAATCATAAGGAAAGTTAACTGGAATGCTTAGAACTGTTTCTGTGTACTGTATATGGGTCATATCATGATGGGTAGCAACAAATAAGCACATATTAATCATAAGGACACTATTTGGCTTATGAGTATCTTAATAATCCTTTGGCATAAACTTTGTGCAAAGAACAGAATTTACTCTTGATTTTTGGGGGGGGGTGAGAAATGAGAGAGCAATGGAAGTTTTATGTTTGTGTGTTGATTTACCAGCTCATCTGGAATGAAAAGTAAAAGTACATATAGCTAACCCTCCTTATTTTCAAGCATTATTGTATATAATATAACAAATCAATGCCAAAATAGTAAATCTGATTTTTGGTTCACATTAAAATGGGTAGTTTCATCTTCTAATGATCATAACAGTTGATGATATTATTGTACCAAAGGTTCTAACTTATTTCAAAGGAGTATCTCTTTGTCAGAGGACTGAAAGAACAAATGAATACACATAAAATGTATCTCCAGGAACAACACATATAAACACACCCTAAAAGAACGAGGGAAAACAGCATGAAGAAATTGGGATTTATGATATAATAAAGCGTATAATTTGTTCATGCCAATTTCTTTCTTATTTCTCACCAAATTTGTTGATGTGTTTCCTTTTTTTGTTGCTCAAATGATCTCAACACAATATTTACAAAATTTAGATCAGACTTTCCTCACTTGCTTCAGAAGTTTTGGTTTAATTTTAGAAGCCTTCAAATGGAATTTTCAAAGTTGAACACGTCTGTTTTTATTCTGTGAGGTCCTTGGTGGTCTCTGAGCTTGATTGCTTTTCTTTTTCTTTTCTTTTTGGAAGACGTTTCATTACCTAACTAGGAGATAGGATAACATCACTGATGATGTTACCTAGTTTGGTAATGAAACATCTGCAGGAAAATAACCAAGATCAAAGAACCACAAGGACCCCACAATTCAACCCTGAGCTACAAATATTATGTTTTTATTCTAATTTTTGAAGATGAAAAAAAATTCAGAGTTTTCATCTTTTCCTAAAATTATTTTGCCTGAGTTGATTTTCCTTTTGATGAACAGGAGGAAGCGAATGACAGAAAGGAACTGGGAGATAATACTCTAAAGGAAAATAAATCTCCTGGAAAGATCATTTATTTTGCAAATGGTGAAACAATGGAAGAATGCAGTTCAGAAGAAGAAGATGTTGAGGAAAGCAATCAGAAGCCATTACTTGACACTGTGAGTTTATGATGAGTAGTAGTAGTAGTAGTAGTAGTAGTAGTAGTAGTAGTAGTAGTAGTAGTAACTATTTGTATGGCTGCTGTGATATTAGTGCAACTATGGATCCTCCTCTTTTTTATCACTGAAAATCAACAGCAACACAATTGCTGATCATTTCAGCAGTAATCACCTAGAAAATAAGCTTTTCCTGTAATCTGGGGTTTGTTACTGTCATTTGAAGAAGTTAGTTTTTTACACATTCTTTAGAAAGGAAAGAAAGGAAAGAAAGGAGCAGACCAACCCCAATAACACAAATGCTAAGAATTTTTAATGAAGTAAATGAGATCAACTTCAGAAATATTTTAGAATCAGCTTGTGGACCTTTCACATATCGTTTCTAAGTCCTCACTAGATGATAAATAATGTGTGTGTTTTCAAATGTGTGAAAAAAAAACTGTATATGAAAGTATATTGTCTGCAAAAATCTTTATGTCTTCTGCTGGATTTCTTGGCTGCTGATAAAGGCGATATATTTTACTCATGAATATTAAATATTAATTCATAGCCTTGAATATTTTGTTTTGGCCCCGCTTACCTTTTATTAGAAGCTCTACTATTTTATAGACATTCTATTTCATGGGCACAAGGAGGCTATTGTTTATTCATGAAAAAGGACAAAAAGGGAAGATAAGCTAGAGAAATAATGTTGGTAGGGTGAGAGGAGGGGAAGGAATTGCCCTATTACTACAGTATTACTTTTTGTTCAGGATTTTTTTTCAGAAAAGTGATGCTTTTCTTTATATAATGTAAGAATGAAATTTCAGCAAAAGTGACCACTTGATTGATTCCAGGATTTTGCTCCCAAAATCCTGGAATGAAATACAGCAATAACCTCCTCTTTCTCTTTTTGCAACTGAAACCTATGATCTTGCTCTGAAATGCATCCTCACAGTATGATTGCTTTGTAGCAGCTATGGATGAGTCTCTGTATTGTTACCAACAGACCTCTGGCTTTATTCACAGGCCAATCTCTCTTGGGGTAATTACCTACGAAGTTGGGTACATCAAATTGTAGCCACAGCATTTTTTGGTAAGTATATTGTTGGAGGAGTGGGTTTAGGTGTAAGTGGTAGGCTGGTAAGATAAGAATTTTTAATACATCATCAGCAATTCCTGAGAAAACCTATGTTCTTATGCCTTTATAAAGAAATTAATAATGGATTGTGCCCCAGCCATAGAATTTATTTTCTTCTTCCAACAACCAGAAAGTAAACTGCATGTGATAGGAAAGAATTTGTGGACTAATACTAGCCACTGTCTACTACTAGATGTTCTGATTATACTCATACTCCATATACACATTTGCATATCTGCACACACAAAAATCTATGACTTGTTCAAATTACTTTTTTTTCAATATCCTTAACAGCTTGTGAATTTCTTGGTGGGAAATTTGTCACATTCCTTGGACTCAATGACTCTAAATATCAGTATGCAGTGGATGAATACTACAGGACACAAAATAAGGTAAATATAACAAATGCAATGTAAGGGCATGAAGCAATTTGTTGACCACCAAGATTTGGGGATTAAATTTTAAGTTGTATTACACCCAAAATATGAAGTATTGGGGCTCCCAAAATCCTGGAATGAAATAGAAGAGATGATGTAATGAATATTAATTTTAGCTCTATTAAGAGGCTGACCCACCTAAATAATGTTAATGCTCGAGATAAAAATAAACTCCAAGCATTGCCTCGATGTTAAATGCTGTCAGTTACTACTTTAGTAGCATATGTAATCTATTCTGAGTGGTGTATATGAATTTTGCTTCATAGTAAAATAAGTCTTATGAAAGTGATACTAGGCCCTATAACAAATGTGCAGAAATATGCTGAATTGCTTTTGCTTTGTGCAAATGTTTCCAGTAACCTTTTAACATTTTTATGTTGGGCATTTCCCCAAATTATGAGTTAGTAGCCTTGTTTTGAAAAATCCTAAAGGTATTCTATATACTGTACCTGTTTATATATGATACCAGTCTACTATTTAAAAATGAGAAACAAACTGCATCATAGTAGACAATCAACTGCCCTCTCATATATTTTAGACCAAATTCCATAAGCTCAACAATTTTGCATCTATTATTGGAACATCAGGATGGGTCCAAAGTGCCTTATCTCTGAATTACATATTAAAAACAAATGTGTCTCATTTCTTTAAAAAATGAAAAACCAAATTCAAGTGCTGATGAGAAATATGGCTGATGAATTTCTCTCAGCCCAGCAGTAACCCCCCCCCAATTAGAATTATGGGAAGTGGAATAACAAGTAGTAGAAGAAAATGAGCCACCTCATTTCTCATATTGGGAAGATTCCAACTCCTTAATACAATGCTTCCCAAACTTTTTCCTTCATTATCCAAAATGCTTTATTAGGAAGTCCAGATAAAACAATTTAAGTCAAATTTAAATGTCCCTATTGTGATTTAATAATGGGTTTGTAGGTCATTATTTGAAGAAAAAAGCACTTCTACCCAATTTGGGGTAATTTGCTCCCTCCTTACTAAATACCGTCTAATGCTTGTCACAATTATAAAATGCAGTTTTCCAAGGCTTTTTTTTTTTGGTATAGAAAAGTTAGACATTTACTTATTTTATTTATATCCCAAGTTTTTTTTATGTATAAACAACTCAAGGTGTGAATATACCTAATAGCCCTTCTTCCTCCTATTTTGCCACAACAACAACCCTGTGAGATGAGTTGAGCTGACAGAGCGTGACTGACCCCAAATCACCCAACCAGTTTTTCATGTCTAAGGCAGGACTAGAATTCACAGTTTCCTGGTTTCTAACCTGGTGCCTTAAGCACTAGACCAAACTGGCTAATATCGTATCAAACTGATATGAGTTTATTTTGTTTTCTTAAGGAACTTTGTAGGCTTCATGTTCCGTTAAAAATGATGGTTAAGCTAGGCTTTACATGTTCATAAAGTGCTGATCATCTTGCCTATCCACCTGTTGCTGAAACATTTTGGATAGATAACTATCCACCTCAGTTTGAAGACATACCACTTCCTGAGGGAACCTGTTGCACTTCCCACAGAAAATTCCTCCTAGTGTTGATGTTCCTTCAACTTTAGCCCATTGGTTTGGGTTAAGCACTCTGGATCACTGGAAAAGTTTAAGTTCCTCCTTGTTGTGTTCTTTTGTATTCCCCCCCCCCTTAATCCCTATGCGCATCCTGATCACCCATTAAGGGTGATTGCCCTTCTCCATCTGCATACAGTTTCATGCCCGTTGCTGGTTGACTAACTAGCAACGGGGTCTTACCAGCCAATGGAATTGTGTGATTACAAGCCAGGGGAATCCCATAAAAGAGGGCTCCCCTGGCCCAGATGCCAGTCCGGATTTACTTGATGCCTTGCCAATAAACCGAGAGCTGACTGTCACTCGACTCGTGTCTTACTGCCTGCGCGATCTAACACTGGCGACGAGGATGGGATCCCAATAAGACTGCACGACAAGGGCAACCTCGTGGCAAGCAACCTACTTCGAAGCAAGAGCTCCTCCACGCAGCCTTCCGAAGCAAGAAACTATCCGCGACTCCAAGATGGCTTCCACCTCGAAATTCTCGTCTTCCCTACCGGCATTCAACCCAGAAACAAACGACTGGGCCGCATACATGGGAAGATTCGAGCTACACCTGG